CACCCCCAGCCCCACGAGCCCCGTCTGAACCTGCAGAGAGTTGCACCCGGCCTCAGGAGCCCCGTCTGAACCCGCAGAGTCGCACCCCCAGCCCCACGAGCCCCATCTGAACCCGCAGAGAGCTGCACCGGCCTCACCTGCAGTCTTCCAATTGCCACGAGGCAGTACTTGCTGCCCTGTCCCACCTCAGCGTCCTCCTCGGGGATGGTCATTCCTGGAAAGAGAAAAGCCAGCGTCATCCACTAAGTGCCCAAGGTGGGTGGCAAAGGGGCAAGAGCGCCCTGGGTTTTATCTGTGCAATCCAAAATACAGATCCACGCGGACCACCCGGGGTCTGGAAGGTAGCCAGTGAGTTAACCAGTGCCCGCTCCTGTCCCGCTCCCCTCTCCCTGCCTGACGCCTTTGGTACCTTCCCGGGCCGTCGCATCTGCATCTGGGCACAGGGCACAGGAACTCACGGAAGAAGAAATGCCCATTATTCATTTTGCAAGGTTTGGCCAAAACATTAGGAAATCTTTATAGCTAAGAAGTGTAAGCGGGCATTTCTGGTTATGTAAATGTTTCCTTTACAAGGGCTAGAAAGGAGAAACAGGTGATGGGTACTGAGCACTGAAAACCAGCGCTCTACGGGGGCGCCTAGCGGGCTCAGTCGGTGAGGCCTGCGACACTTGATCTCGGGGTTGTGAGTTCGAGTCCCACATTGGGTGTAGAGATGACTTAAAAATAAAATCCTTAAAAAAAAAAAGAAAAGAAAACCAGGGCTCTGGGTGGGCAGGACTTGGTTAAACAATCCCCCGTGTTCTTTGGTCAGGAAAGAGTCTTCCGCTCCGTGCAGCAGGGGCCTGGCATAGGGCTGCTCACGGTGCAAGGTTCTCAAACAGCTGCAGTTGGTTCTAACAGTTGTGGGAAGCAAGCACCCTTCACCCTGCCTAACACATCACAAAGGCTCCCAGGGACAGAACTGCACAAGCACGGCGGGAGCCCATCGCTGCAGACCGTGGAGTGGCAGGAAACACGACTGTGGTTCTAGGAGCCAGAGCATTGTCCCTCTGTCCACACCTGCACTGTCCCATCCAGCCCCGTAGGTGACCAGTCCCCGAAGTTTCTGCTTTATCTTTGCGGTGTTCTTTTTTTTTGCACAAAGGAGCATATATCTGTATATTCTCTTACCTTCTCTCCTTTCTACTACGAAGGGCTGTGTGCCATACATACTCTCTGGGGCTTAGCTTATTTCACTTAACAGCGCGTCCTGGAGCGCGCTCCCTAACTATTTGCAGAGTGTCGCGTGTACGAGGGCTCATTCAACCACCTTCCTATGAGCACTCGGGTGTTTCTCATGTCGTGCCTGTGTATTCTCCAGTGACTGGAAGTGTACCTGCAGATCCGCCCAGAGATACACCTATCCCAGAAGTGGGATTGCCGGGCTGCAAAGTAGGAAAATAGGTAGTTTTGTCAAGTGTTGCCAAATTTCCCTCCAGAAGGGGTGTACCGGTTTGCTTTCCCAACAACAGGGTCCGCGAGGCCTATTTCCCCGCTGTCTCGGTCAGAATAGACTGTCAAACTGTTTAATTTTTCCGGTATTGTCTAAATTGGCATTTCTCTCTCGTTATGGATTTGAACATTATTTCATGTGTGCGAGGACCATTTTTATATCCTGTCTTTCAATGAATTGTCTGTTCTGTCTCATCCCCATTTTCCTGTTGGGATTTTGGTCCTTTGCCCCTCAATTTTCAAGAGCTCGTCACATATTAAGGGATATTGAGTCCTTGTAGTGAATATGTTCTCCTAGTTGGTCTCCTGTCTTCTGACTTTGCTTCTGGTGATTGAACAACTTTATAATTTTTATGTAGTCGGATTTATCAATCTTCTCTTGTATTACGTTTGTTATTGAAATACCAGCAATCTCTTTGAGGGAGTCCTAGAAAGCCATTTCCTACACCAAGGTTTCACCTGTGTTTTCCTCTGACACTTTCATGCTTTCGCTTTTTACATACATTCCCTAATCCACGTGAAGCTATTCTCGTGTCGGGCGTGAGATGCAGATCTAATTTATCTTTAACAGAATGGCTGTCCACGGCACTTCTGTTCACAGTGCAGTGACCCGAGGTGTCCCCTTTTATCACATACTAAAGCCCCACATGTATTTGGAGATAATTCTGGACTTTCTCTTCTATTCTACTGGCCAGTTGTCTATTAAGCATCGATATTATGCAATTTTAATTATAGAGGCTTTATGGTAGGGTTCAGTATCTGTAGGGCTGTTACTCTCTTACAGTTTTTCCGTGTTTTCTTAGCTATTCTCAGATAGATAGATAGATAGATAGATAGATATTTACATTAACTTCAGTATCATCTTATTTAACTCCATCAGATAGCTTGCTGGTTTTCTTATTTGGCTTGCATTAAATTTATAAATTAACGTCAGGAGAACCGACATCTTTATGATGCTGAATTGTCTTCCCCAAGAACAGGGGATGTCTTCCCATTTGTTTGAGGCTGCTCTTGTGCCTTTCAGGAGCGTTTAAAAATTTTCCTCACATATACTTGTGTTTTGCATACTTATTAAAATTATTCCTAAGCCTGTAATCATTTTTGTTGCTATAGTCAATGGGGTTTCCTCTACCATTATGCTTTCTGTTCATTGTTTATGTATAGGAGGACTATTGGGTTTTGTATGTTAATATTGTGTTGTGCTATTTCACGAACTTATTTTACTATTTCAGTTAGTTTTGTTACTGGCCCACTGGGCTTCTGCAGGTGTGCAGTCTTAACTGAAAAGAAGTAGTTTCCTTCTTTTGTACACGTGTTTGCCTCTGATTTCTCTAACGGGATGGGCTAGTATCTCTTACAATGTTGAAGAGTGGCAGAGAGTGGGCACTCTTGCCTTGGTTCTCATCTTACTGGAAATGTCTCAAGAGTTTTTCCATTACAAATAAGTTACCTTTTCGAAAGAGAAATTATTACTGAATCACTGTTTGGCACTTTTGCAGGTCGATTTAATGCCTTGTTTCATAGGAGACAGCTGGATTCTTACACCTGCTGTGCATACAGTCTATTACAATGGATCGTGTTACCTGGGGTATATGAAGAAAATGTGTCCTCACATAGACAGGAAGCTGGGGGAGGAAGAAGTTTCTCCAGATAATTGTGGATATTCTTCTTTGATGTTCTCCTAAGCCTTGACAAGGGATTGTTTCTTAAAGGTTAATTGCAATGTGAAATCCAAAACTGTATCAGTCAATTTTTCAATATTCTGCTACATTAAAATAGATTGGTCTAACACTTGGACTGGATCCTTTACTAACAGGAGTCTGAACACGATGTATTGGTCACTAGGAAAATACTGGTTCATCATATTATATGGATCTAAATGCCGACACATTACAATAAATATTTTTAAAATCACACTTGCTCATATCACCATGCATTTCATCAGAAACAGTTCTAAGTATTCGTCAAGACCATGGTGGTGGATACAAGTTTTCTAAAATTCAGATTTTCACTAGAAAGCTTTAATTTTATCACTGACAGCAAATACTGTCAATTATTTTCCTTGATGTGACAGGTTCATTTTAACTTTTTGTGAAAGTATCTTTGCCAAACGCACAAGTTCAAATAACCATAGTTGGCTTGTTCATCATCCTTTCAAGTAAGAAATGGTGTTTCATAAAAGAAGCAACTAGTTTAGCTCGCAACTCAATCAACTGTGCATGTGCTTTTCCTTGACACAACCCCACCATGCTCTGGTATGCAGCGGAAGTCACTTTACGCACACTTCCCATTTCGGGGTTCATTCAAATTGGTACTTTTTACAGCTTCATCAAGGGCATACTTAAGTGAAACCAGCATTTTGAAATTCTGAAATTATTTTTTGCTGCAAGTGTGTGGTGATAAAGAATCCAATGACCACGAGGGCAGTTTGGTGCCATAGCCCTAACGCATGCTGAGGCTCCAGCAGGTTTTCCCCCCCGATGCTTAGGCACCAGCAGTAAGTGGAAAGGGTGCATAACATCTTAGTGCCGGGATGAAAGCAGTTTAAGTGCTGCATACCCCTGAGACCATCTCGGGGCGCCCGGGTCCACAGACCAGCCTTAGGAGCCACCACCGCCCATGCTGTCCATGCCCGAGTTTGGTCCTCCCAGCCTTGTCTATTGATCCTTTCCCTGCTGCCTCTACTTCTCACTACACATCAACAAGACCCAAGATTGCCCCCCATCTAGATTTGCCTCTGCAGTTCCAGATCCTGACTCCACATGCCTCCTAACAAGATCTGCCTCTGTCGCAGGCCCTTCAAACTCAACACTGCCCAAATCTTCCTGCCAAAACCTGTTCCTCTGTCTCCTCTCCTGCAGAGAACACAGCTGGTGACCTGCCTGATGTGCATCCTCTCCCTCTTCCATGATGACGGAACCCTGATTTGTTGGGAGTGACGTTGTGTCCACCCAGTTAGAGGGACACAGCTCTGCCTGTGGGGTGTGAGCACAAGTCCCCGAGTGAGGCTCTCAGGAAAGCTCCTCCTTCTGTGGAATGCAGACATGCTACTGAAGCCCCCATAGCCAAGGGCACACAGGAAGCCAAGGTCCCACGATAAGGAGCATGAAGCAGGAACTTCTCTAGTGACGGGATGGTCACCACATCCCCATATGACCATCCATCTCTTTTAACATTTCATCTACGGGTCCTAGGCCTGCCTTTGCACTTGCCCTTTAGACAAATAAAGGGCACATTATTTTCCTGAGTCTATTTCTTTCGTGGCCTGACATCCTTGTGTCAATTTAACTGGTGTTCCTTCGAAAATGGTCTAAGTCTCCCTTTCTCCGTGTCACTTTTCTGAATATGCTTCAGACTGTCTGCATCCCCTGGAGGCTATTTCCCACAGTGCGCCAGGTATGACCTCTGCCATGACCCCATTTCATCTATCCTGGACACAACAGAAGGTGGCTCCCTGGAACTGAAGGCCATGCATTTGGGAAGTAAGGTCTGAGTCACGCTGACAGCTCTCCCTAAGAAGGGTGCCCTTGGCTAAGCATTTAAAAAATAATCACAATGACAGTTAAGCTTCCAGCCAATTTACCTTCCTGCCCGAAACAACCAGAGACAAGGAGGTATAAGAAATAGTGGTTTTCAAGACAGTGTATATGAGGCGATGAACAACAGCATTCTCTGAGATGGGCAACAAGTAAGCCCTACGATCGCCCCAGCTTCCTGCCTTCA